ATCCACTCTACATCGCATCTCTGCTATTCATGAATGGGCATGATACAAAATGTTCTATGAACTCGAGTCGATGCAGTATTACTCACAGCCATCGCTCAAGAAAAAATGCTAGGAATCTTGCCAGCACAGATGAAAAGCCGAAGGAAACCGTGCATCAATTGCACCTATCGAGTCATTCAGATCGCTTCATTGGCAGCTCGAACGACAAATGAAACTACAATGGCCGTACGGGAACAAAGCCCGCATGACGGGCGGAAAAACCGACTACTCCCTTTGGTATGGCGATGCAAGACAATCCAAGTCGGATTTAGTTCTTGTGGAGACCAAGCGACGCGGAATAGACAGAACACGCTGTCCTATATGGGCAAGGCCATCAAGGTTATCACTCCAGATAAATGGGCTTATTACCTGCCCTCTGTCGAGTGTTCTGGATTATATTCCATTTAAACACCACTAAATGCCCAAAAAGAAATAGGAAATCCGGTGCAATGGTGCCTAGTAGCATGCATTGCACGTTCCGTCTAGTCGCAGCCCGTTGGTTTCTAGGCCATGGACGATAGAAAATCTATCACCCTTACCATTCGGGTAGAATACCTGCAGAATTCATTATGGAGCTTACACACAGTTCAAAAATTTAACACAGCAATATCTGACTATTACCCTGCAAATACCCAACTGCCCTGGTATGCCAGACTTGCTGGAAGGACTAAGTCACAGTACGGTTCATCAGCCGGAGGCTTGCTTCTCAGAACTTTAAGAACCAACATGATCCCCATATTAGTACTGTAAATATTACACCTGACCAATGGTGAGAAGTCTCGATGAAGGAAGGTTGGGAAACGAGATTGCCTAAGCTAAGGATCTACCGAGCTGGCCCAAGGAATTGCCAATTTATCGACAGGACTTTTGACCCGTTGAGACAGGAAAACAAAATGGAGCAAGCTCCCGGTTATACACTGTCTTTCTACCCCGACAGGAATTGGCGATCAAGGGTGCTACAAGGTTTCTGGGTCCGGCGAAAAGAATTCCTGTGGGATAGTTGAAAGAAGACATGAAGCATCATCATCAAAAAATAATTATAGTCTACTTCGACCAACACGGTTCGACTAGATAGCAGTATATCGATTCGTTAGTAACCGGAGCGAAGATACAGGAATTAAGAAGGAAAGGAAGTACACAGCGTGATAAAATATATCTATTTCCAATATTGGATACAATATTCTAGGAGAAACAGGAAAAGATTATATTCGAAGCTATACGGGGAGCTACCAGCACTTATATGGATAATGATTAAATAAAGTACTAGTCGACTTACCGCGAAATGAAATAATGGATATCTAAACAAATTTATATATTAGAAAGATATAAGCGACGGGAAAGATAGATACCGATTATAAGTAGAAAATGAGGCGAGGAGTTTAAGAAGAAATTATTAGGATTAATTACTATTGCGGTCAAAACATTGCAGGATATAAATACTATAGAATAAAAGAATACGGCATATCTAATAATAGACCGCTTGATTACTGAACTAGTTGATTTAACTAATAAATCGACGAAGGATGCTATGAAATTCAGGAAGGAATATATTTAGTAGCGGATAATCTTTGTAGTCTGAACCGAGAAGTTATGTTAGGAAAGGAAGGAGAGAAGAGGGGAGTAATATTATTAAATAGCTCAATTAGTTAGGACTTAACTAGATTATCAATCTATCAGTTCGCACCGCACCGATTAGTTCTGGTGGGATCCTTATCTACTTGCATATCTATATCGGTCCGATCTGATCGGTTCCCTTGTGTTCTGCCGGATGGTCAAGGGTAAAGACAAGGGTCTAGTGGGTATCGACCAGGGAAAACCCAATAAGGAGACGATGCGACCTGTACCCTGTACCGGCACAGGAAGAAATTGCCAACATGGTTAGGGGATGCAAGTTTATCTCTGCCCTAGATGCTTGCAAGTTCCTCTATCAATGGCCAGTGAAACCGAAGCATCGGAATACCACGAGGCATTCCAGACTTCAGACAAGGAAACCTTTTCAATAGATTCTTCCACTTCTCGCCACTTAGCTTCGTGGGCTATATTAGACACGAGGTGAACATCACATGAAGCATACCAGCGGCATTTAACCACCGTCAGATGCAACTATCAATTTGTTCTGCCAATCTTTCGCTCCCATTGACTTCTGCTTGCCTGTTATGTCTGCGTCTCTCTATTCTACAGTCTACAGCCTTAAGTCGTCTTTGAGCTGTAGTTGGCAAGGCTTGAGTAGTGTGACTTTCTACACTATCTGCTAAAAGCCCTCAGAGCTAATTTAATCCTCTCCAGTGGGGCGTTTAGTGTGGTTCCCTCTAGGTAAACGTTGTCCCTTTCCAAAATGGTTGAACACTAGTTTAAACATCAAGAAAGAAGAAGGGCGGTTTTCAGAACAAGGATGAATAAACAAGGGCTAGCTCTAGCGGAGTGCTCGACAGAAGAATGGAAAAGGATCAATGTGGTTCGAAGATAATCTCACTTAAGTACTGGAAATTTCCTTACAACTATAATATAGAACCTTAAAGGTGTTTTCCAGTTTAGCAAAGACGGCCGACTACCCAGCAGGACACCTTTGAGCACGAGCCGTATCCTTCTACTCACATTCTCCAGGCGGGGATCATTTCGAATCGTAGTAGCACAACAGTAGTAATAGGTTGTCAAACATTTAAATTATGAATACAGTCAGATGAGGATGCACAAATGCAAGGTATGACGTACAGTAAGGCTCGGAATTTGTAACAAACACACCAACATCCAACAACGCCCCAAACACCAAGCTAATCTATCAAATGCAGAGAAAGGTCTATACAATAGCGACCGTAGACCCAGATGAAGCAGGCTTCGTCTTGTCGACGTGAATGTCCATCTCACAAATATCCCCGCTCTCGACATCGAACCCAGCAGTTTCTTCCTCGAGCCGTTGTTGGCGCTTGTACATCTTCCAAAAGACAACGCTACCGTGAACCTGGGCTGCGGAAAAGGCAATATGAAGCAGCGGGGTGACGACCTTGAAGGCAATCTGCCATCGGTCCCACAGGGAGCCGAACAAGAAGAAGATAACAATGGTTTCGCAGGTTGTTCCGAGGGCTGTGGTGATGCACGATAGGAGGAAGAGGCGTTTGAGGAAACGGTGGCGGTTGGGGAAGACGCGGTAGAGGATGATAGCCAAGTGGGGGAAGAATTCTGATATGATGTCGAAGGCACCTGATGAAGAGCTGTATTAGCCTACGTTTGTAGAATATCACGAAGAAAGGTAGAGCATAACTTACCCCATACTGTACACAGGACAAACTCGATATCGGCATCTGGCTCTCGGGCCAAATCTAAGCTGATTGCAATCGCGGACTGGCCAATGACAATAGTCCCGATGTGATGTAGCACAGCAATAGGCGACAGCTTAGTACGGTAAATCAGCTCGAACGCGTACATCCCGATGAGCATCTGAGAGACCACGACCAGCATGTCGCCCATTGTCACCCGGGAGCCATGTGCGTAAGGTGTGTGGAAGGATGATTTGCCAATGACAACCTCGAGGAAAGGGTATGCGGCGACGATTAGAATGAGGATCTTCGTGAGACCGGCAATGTGGTGGTTGATGAACCCGCGTCGGTTCACCTCACTCAGGTTCGTATAGATAGAGCCATAGAGACGTCCGATGAGAAACCCCTCCAACACATAATACCGCACCAGAAAAAGAACGACGAGTACTATCGAAATGATGAGAGCGGAAAAAGGAGCGAGCTTCGAGATAGGCTGCAATTTAAGAGTCTCGAGAGCAGAAATGTCATGGTGATAATGTATTGCCATGGTGGCTTCCAATTGCTGTCAACGATGATGGGCCCCTCAGCGGATTGAAGACCATTAAAAGCAGGAAGAGAGTGACGGTGACAGGGGAGTGCTATTAAAACGACCTTGAATAAAGGATTGATGGGGTATACCAAGAACGATGAGAGAAAAGGAGTGTAGGCGGAAACCAACAATGAGCAACGACCAAATCGCATAAATTAACCTACATGGGTCTGCACAAGCGTCTATAAATGGAAAGTTGGAAGAGAGAAAAAAGAAAAAGGGACAATGAACGGCGGTAGTCGACCGAGGGAGATCTCCCTCTGATCGAGATACCCCGTTTCTCGTGGGAAAGCCCCCAAACGAGTCCTGGATCTTAGTGAGACTTAGTAGCCCACCGCGTTACTACTAGTACGGAATAGACACTTTGAAAATCAATCTCACCAGTGTTACTCGTGACAGTGTGGCCAGGAACGATAATGTGGTAGCCTACGCTGGGTTGCCATGCTGGTGGAGACGAATGGTATACACCCATTTTCCACGACGCCCCATCAGCGCTAACTTGACAGACTACTATAGTTAGTGTCTTTCTCACCCAGGGGCCAAAGAGTCCAGAAGTTCTTTCTGACAAGCGGTCTCGCCCGAACCTTCTGCAGGATGAGAAGCGTCTTTAGTATAACCTCTTTCGGGGGCGCAGCCTCGTATCACTGACATTCAACAGCGCAATGGGTCCGTTGCCTGCTGATCCTGCACCGAATAAGGGTCCAGCCAAGCTTTCAGGATCCACTGAAGAAAAGCTTCGCCTCCGCAAGTTGAATGAAGTTTCGATTTTTTTAGGCAGTAACGTTCTAGGGTTAGGAAAAGTCTACGACTTGATTGGAGGAGAGGTCCCGTGCCGCTCTGGCACGTGCTGGTCCCCCACCACGCCAAACCGCCTGGACTTCATTTCATTCCAACCCTCAGTTGAGTAGGACAAGAGGAACCACGGTCCTGCTCCAGTTGCAGAACCGTGCGCCGTAATATGTTCTCAGGGGCTACACAAACTACGAGCCGGTCTGAGAATTCAAGTCGGCCCCGACTCCATGAAAATATTCTGGACCCGAAGTCTCTTTCCCATGGTAAGCAGAGAAAAGAAAGACCACCACGCAATCACTCAGAATTAACAATACTAGGAATAATGTCTAAACTGTCTCTGGCAGTGCTGGCTTTGTGAACATAATCATCTCCATCGTTAAGCCATGGCCAAATGCGACTGCAATCACTTTGTCTGCTCCCTTGCCAGACGTAGATCCTTCCCCCTGATGTCCTTCGTCTTTCACACCACTCTCACGTTCTTTTTTGAGTCGATTCAAGATGCTGATTACAGTGCTGGAAACAGTGTTACCGCCATCACTATATGCCTCAAAGGCCTTGCGCAGGTTATGCGCCGACAACCCTAGTACCTCCTGCGCAGCAAGAAGAAAAGCGTATCCGCCGGGATGAAAGGCCCAATCGTAGATCCCAGGGCTGTAATTACTGGGCTCAGAGGCGACACCGGGCGTCGATGAAATTAGATTGGTAAAGCCCCCATGAATGGATTGGCCAATGACAAGGGGAATCTTCTTGTCAATCTTGGCCACATATCCTGCGAGACATAGGGGTTAGTATCATCAATGATCCGATGCAGCTGAGAACGCACCATTGGGGCCGATTTTAAATTCCCCCAACCCTTCGGACCCTTCCAAATGAGTTGTTTGGCAATTCAACACATCCCAGACAGGGACACGTTCCTCTTGCTTGACCCCGATGCCGTTGCTGAGAACAAGCGCAGCCGCACAATCCCCAAAGAGCCCAAGGGCCACATTGGGTCGTTGCTGCTGGCTCACGGAGTCCAACTCTGCCCGCGTAAAGATCGTAGGCAATTCGCAGCAAATGATGAGGCTCTTGCCGGCTTCCCCTGGTGCGTAGCACCCAGAAGCATCTCCTGTGCCACGCGGATCGCCGCAAGGCCACCCCCACAACCCACCCCGTGCAGAAGGGCTCGGCGGGTGTTGTTACGCAGGCCGAGCTTCTGGCAAACTAGCCCATCAAACCCGGGGTTGGAGGTATTAGTACAGGTCACTGCGACCACATGGGTGATCTCCGCCGACCGACCACCCCAGTCCGCAATAGCTTTGTTACAAGCATTGACCGCCAGTGGGATGCCATATTGTTTAAAGAGGGCATCGCATTCGCTGATGGTAGGGACCTCACGTTGGTGCCAGTATTCGTGGTCGGGGTCCAACACGCTGTAGCGATGCTCTATTCGACTTTTCCGGTTGATTTCCAAACTCTTCTGCAACCTATTCGGAGTAAGAATTAGTGATTAAACGGTCTCAATCAGAGGAGAGATCAGTGCTGGGGTTTTCAGCCTTACGCCGGAGTGAGATCATAATGTCGCTGAGCCAACGCCTCCGCAAACTCCGGTCCCTGCTTGGATGGGGGATATTCCACCCCAATTCCCATCACAGAAACAGCCGGTTTCGGACCAGACCCGAGCACATCGGTTACAGTCATGATGGATCAACCGTTGTGGATAGCAGAGAGTGTAGCTAGAAAGGCAACGTTACTGGGAAGCAATGCACAGCATATCGAAGTCCAGCTGGCTTGGGCCTTTTAACTGGCCTCGTCTAGGAGCGAACCATACCTGTGTACATGTTACATTGATCTTGACTCAGGGTGAGCTGGGCCCATCCCACGTTCTAGATCCCTTTGCTGATGCAAACGGATAGATTCACAAGGCTTATCATGCTTTTATCGTTCACTCTGTAATGATTATCATTGCATTGCGTATTGTTCGATCAGATTCTTAATCTGGCGTAGTTAAGAGTGCAAGAGTGGGTCCCCGAAGGTAAGAGATAGCATCGATTTAGAATTTGGTCATAGTATTGTGGCGTCTGAGCATTTGTTTGGTTACTGAGGAGATGTCTTGATAGATACAACCCCGTAGATGAAGTGCTACTGCATAGTTACACTGAGCTTTCGTTTTCGGGCGTCTTGACGTTGAAGACTCAGGCTGGTTAGCCTCCAAACGGCGCCCACCATAGCTCTGCATATTTCTCTGTGTGATTGACTTTGACTATCATTAGAGAGACGATGCTCAATCGAGACATTTAATCATTGATCTACATCAGAGTTCACCCCCAAGATTACATGGCGATCACATCATCACCACGCCAGAGATGCACATCAACCAATAAGCGTGTGACAACTACACTCCAGTGTGATGTTACATGTACATATTTTACTATTAGCATTCTGTGGGACAAATCTAATTTTGGCCAATGTATCAAGAAAGAGGGATAATACACGCTATTTCAACAATTATTGGTAAAAATCACGCCACAAAAGCAAGGGGGGTCTGGAATGAACCAGATATACTTTGCATGGTATGTGCGCGAGATATTTTACCATTGAATAATTTTATCAATTACACAACATATCTTTGCAGTAATGGTGAATGTGGAGTTAATCCGATACAAGCTCTTTAAACAAGGGTTAAGTATGTAAATTCCATAATGCCGGAATAAGGCTATCAGCCCCAACCTCAATAGTGTATCTCTTCTCAGTCTCTTGATTTTTATTATTCATGAAACATCTTATGTCTGGGGATTCTCTCTGCATCAGAAACATATACATGTAAACATATGTATTCGACATGATAGTATCCCAGACTGAGAATGTGGGGCTCGAGACCACTCATCAGCAACCGCACATCGTGGCTGCTGTAGGTGAAGATGAAGACTATCTCAAGTGGAAGCCCGCACGGGAGGAATTGTTGATCCTAGCTTGCCTCGCCATCGTGTCGTTGGTTGTGGCCCTCGACGCCACCATTCTTGTCCCAGTTCTCCCGGTAAGTTTATATGACTCTACTCAATCATGGTTTCGTGTCTTATCTGATGGAATATGGACGGTCCCAGACAATCGCGTCAGACCTGCACGGTGATACAAATGAATCATTCTGGGTAGGCACAGCATATCTCCTTTCCTGTGCTGTGTTTCAACCGCTTTTTGTTGCCCTCTCGACTGTCTTCGGCCGACAGAGCATACTATTTCTATCACTAGTTCTATTCACAGCAGGGACATTGATCTGCTGTCTCTCCCACGGAATGACCCAGCTTCTGGTCGGCCGCACCGTCCAAGGAGTTGGGGGCGCGGGCATCCTGTGCCTGACCTTTGTCATCACGACCGACATCATTCCCCTCCGTCACGCCCGGCATACTCGTCCATTATCCAGGTGGCATTTGTGGTAGGAACAGTGACCGGCCCGGTCATCGGTGGATTGCTCATCGACCACAGCACCTGGCGCTGGGTCTTCTATTTGAACTTTCCCTTTATGGGTGTTGGGCTCATCATGGTCCCGTGGGTGGTGAACCTACGGAGGCCAAGGCAGGACGGACTCACCCAGCAGCTCCGATCAATCGACTGGGTAGGAGCCCTACTGTTTATTGCTAGTGTCTCAAGCTTCTTGATAGGCATCACATGGGGTGGTGGTCAGTTTCCCTGGTCCAGTTGGCGCACTTTGCTTCCCATCTTCCTCGGTGTGGCGGGGGTGATCGTTACCGTTTTCTGGTTGTGGAAGGGGGCACGAAAGCCATTTCTCCGCCTGAGCTTATTCCGAGATGTCTCCTCGGGGATGATCTACCTTTGCGCCGTTCTTCAGGGACTGTTGGTACGTATACTTGTCGTGGGTGTTTTCCATGCCCCTTTCTCTCTTTCTCGACCCGTTCCTCCCCCTAGATACTCTCGGTATTGGCGAGTTGACCGCTGACTTCTGTTAGATGTTCTGCGAGCTCTATTCCCTCCCACTGTACCTCGAAGGACCAAAAGATATGTCCCCAACGATGACCGGGGTGGCCTTGATGACAATCACTGGATCACTCATGCCAGCCAGTGTTTTGGCTGGCATTATCATTACCAAGTTCGGTCACATCCGGTGGGCAATCTGGATGGGGTGGGTCATAATTACCATGTCCACCGGGCTACTGATTCTCCTTGACAATGACACCAAGACGTACGCATGGGTTTTGATCTTTTTGTCCGTGGGTTTGGGCCATGGTTGCATCATTGTCTCGAGCAGTATCTGTGTTCAGGCGCTGGCAGAGGCACGCGACTCAGCACAAGCGGCCTCCATGTACACTTTTCTGCGGTCCTGTGGGATGTGCCTTGGGGTTGCTGTCGGGACCAGCGTGGTGCAGAACCAACTCCGACATCAATTGCAAATTCGCCATCTGCCTGTGGAGATCGCCGAGAATGCCCAGATCTTTATCGCAAGCCTGAAGAACGCTAAGCCATCCTATTCTGCATCGTTCATCTACGCGGTGAATTCGGCGTATGTTCACAGCCTCAAGACCCTCTTTGAGGTCTTAGTCGCTGTGGCCGGGGTGGGCTTGATTGCAGCACTATTTCTGAAGCCCGTCAATATGAATAAAAGGTTGGATACCCAGCACGGTCTGCAGCAGAGGGACAGGCTGGATTCGGGAGTGCAGAAAAGGATCACAGTGGACGAGAGAAACGTTCCGAGACCAGACCAGACATATTCCACTAGTGTATAAACAGAATAAATAGTGTATTTCAATTGAATATATAAGCTCAATAAAAACAAAACACTCTTTCATGGCAAAGACCGTACGATATCTCGCCAAATCCGAGGTCCCTACGGCCTCGCGATTGGTTCATCTTGGTGACATCTGTTTCCCAGTTTGCCTTCGACCTGCTCGTGGCGATCGTGGATAAAACAGTATTCCATGCCTTATGGGCTTGTCCCTTTTCTCCAAGAACTGTCGTAAAAGTTGGTAGCCTCGCTAGATTAAATCCAGTAGGCCTCACACTCCCAATGTAAAATTTCCTCAATCAGAGGTAAATTTTCTTTTTCTCTTTTTTCGCTTTTTTTTTTTGTTTTTTGTTTGAAAGAGAAAAAAAAAGCATTGAGAGGCACCGTAGATTGCTACGAATAGCACAAGAGTCAAAGACTATTGCTGATTCCGGTGAGAATGTAACCCACTTGGATGTGCCATTTTTGACTTTTTTTGTCCCTGTATTTCTGGTATTAACCCGTACCGGTACATTCCAGTAATTTATCTTGTCCGAAGCACTGTAAAGCAGATGACGCAGTACAGTATGCAAGCGGAATATACTACACATACTACTAGCTAAGAGAAGTGAAGTTTATCCTGTGCTTTTGATCAGGGATGAAAAGTATGGGCTGTCTAGAGTATACGAGGACACGACTTGCACTTAATATGACATCTTGTGGGGTCAGATATCTATGACTCTGGCATGAGAATCAATAAAATGCAACACGACACAAGTATGCATATAGGACATCACTATTCCCAAAAGGTCTACCATACAACCCCAACTCTGGTTCGATCTCTATATATACAACGTCAACATTCCACGCCCTTGTGAACCCCAAGTCTCCCTCTATGCACCAACCCGACAGCCTGTCAGTTGCCTTATCTTATTCTGGACTCAGGTCCTGTACAGTACGATCTCTTACGAAACAATATGAATATAAACGATATAAACTACTCTATTCCCTTCTGCACCTGGACAGTTTTTGGATCCGCAATCGGATCTCTCATAGCGATTGTCCTCATTTCCCAAATCTATACCTTCCAGGTCGCCACGAAGATCAGTCACAGGAATGGCTTGCCTCGAATATCGTCTCGAGATGTGTTTGGTAAGTGACGGGAGCATCTTTCTTTTTGAGGGCATACGTTACCAACACAAACGTCGCATGATTTCCAGGAATCGGATTGCTCGGTACAATAGCGCAGCAGATGAAAATCGATAGAGTGTTTGAATGGGCGAGTGGCATGTTGAACGTCCCCGGCCGCACGGTCGACATGACTCTTTTTCGCCTGCGATTTATTTGGACTGATGCGCCGGAAAACACACACGCTCTGTTATCATCTCAAGTACTATATATTCCCCCATTGTCCTTCTCCTCCCGTCCATGGTTCTAATCTCCGACACGAACTCTAGTTCTCTGATTATGGCAAGGGCGACTTTGTGCACAAACTGCTGGGAAACCTGGGGGAAGGCTTGCTGGTGACTGGTATGTGTCTACTATCCATCAACACTCGTGATCCGCAACACCATTCTTAACTACTGAAACTTCTCCCGGTCAAAGTGGACGGAGCGGATTGGAGGGCGAAAAGAAAAGAACTACGACCTCATGTATGCCCGCTCCCCTACTTTTTCTTTTTGTATAAGCAACATTGACCTGGCTAACGGGATGCCAGCTCTCGACTCTATCCGAAAAGGACCGAGAAATCACGGAGCTTCACCTGCGTCCACTCCTGGAACGGCTCTCTCAGAGCCAGGCCCCGATTGACGTCTTTGATGTGATTGATAAACTACAGCTGGATATCGCGATTCACCGATTCGTCGGCCAGTTGACCGACGCCGATGAGGCAGGCTACCAGCGCTTTCGAAAGGCGAAACGAACCCTGGCCGCTGCTGGGACTATGCGACCATTCCTCGGGTATGTTCAACACACACAATCCCCTGCAACCCGGATTGGACTCATCTGGTGCTCATCTGAAACTATAGACCGCTGGGGTTTCTTGTCAAGCCCATAGAGCGCACGGCGAGGGGCGATCTCGATATATACGTTCAAAAGCTACTCCAGGCAGCGGACCACTCTATCTTCGCCAAGAGTGAGGCCGAAATCGAGGTATGGAATGTTCGCTGCGGGTGCTCATTAGATCAATCAACTGACCACATGGGTTTCTGGAATGCAGCACCGCAGGGAGCTGTTGCTAAATCTGATTCTCGCCGGAAAGGTAACCCTGCCCTCCCTTATTTTATTCGGTGTTTTGACATTTTGGGCCAGGATCCCACAGTCGTCACCATTACTTGGGCTATCTACGAACTTTCTCGCAACCCGGACGTATTGAAAAAATTAAGATTGGAGATTGCAGACATGTTTGCCACCCTCTCCCCTGTCACCCTTTATTGATTCACTCTCCAGTAACATTTGGCTTTTTTCTTTAGAATTGGGTACGAGCAACTTCCGAGTCTTTCCTCATTGGACCGAATGCCATATTTGAATAATGTCATTCGAGAAACCCTCCGTCTGTACCCTCCAAGTGAGTTTGTCCACCTGGAGTCCCAAGCAGGTCCGCCAGCAGAAGATAAGAGGCTTATTGTCGAACCCAGCGGGATTCAATTTCAGAGAAGCACTGCGCAACACAACGTTGCCCCGTGGTGGGGGAGCAGACGGCAGAGAGCCGGTAGCTGTTAAGAAAGGCCAAGTTGTTGGTACGAATCATGACAAATATATCCAATTATCGTTATGGCAATGAAACAGAGCACTGACCGATTCGCAGTTTTCTCAAGCTTTGGTCTGCAGCGCCGGCCTGAATATGTGGGGCCAGATGCCAACTACTGGAGACCAGAACGATGGGAACATTGGACACCGCCAGAGGGCTCTTATATCCCCTGGGGAACGGGCCCACGTACCTGCTTGGGCAAGGCTTTTGGGCAGTTTCAGGTGGCCTATACACTCGTCCGGCTCTTTCAGGAATTTGATTCCGTTGCCGAAGTCAACCACGGCAAAAACACGGAGCAAAGGATTAGGTTGGAGGTCCTAGCTAAGCCTGCAATGACTATTTCCTGCCGGTTCAATCGCGGTGACCAATTTCGTTGAACGGGCCCTGCTATGCTGGCCTAAACCCGGTGGGACAGTGGTAGTTAGATCGTATAAGGATGATAAAGAGATCTGAACCTTGGTGTCTGAATGTTGACAATACTCGCTGCCACCAAATATGCCTATGTTACCCTGAATCGGATCGTTGGTAATATTCAAAGACACTACAGTCTTGAACAAGAATGGCCAACCTGTGTTTCGCAATGAACGATCTTACGTTGTGAACTGTATATATGCGGACACTACTCCGGACGAAAGTGGATTCGCACGCTTCGCTATCTTAGTCTCGTAAACAAAAGTAAGCCTTAACTGCTAACTAAATTTGGCTGTTCTGGTTCGACACTCCGTTGTAGAGTCAGTACAGGTAACAGGGGCATTTATATCGGATGCAGGTAGACGGTACAGGAGTAATATACACACGTGTAGTGAGAGAAACCAGGGTCGAATTCAGACAAAGGACTTCCTGGGAGGAAGGGACAACAGAGGGAAAGGCTCATGGCTGATAAGGGAGCTGGTAAATTGATTGCGTTCTTGCCAGGGGTATTCTTGCGGAGAGGGCACTGCAGCTTGTCAGTCAAAGAATAGTAGAAAAATATTTACTGACAGAACTAACTTACTGCGTCCAAATATTGCTCTGCTGTACTTCACTATTCTACGACCTCTAACCTATAACTTGCTACAATACACACAAGTCTACTAGCCCGAACAGACAGAGTAGAGCCAATATATTATTACTAAGATACACCCACTTCCGTAGATAGCTGACAAGAAAGAAAGCATGCTTGCACACGTACATATGAGATTGCGAATGTTGGAGAACAACACAATCAAATCCCCGAGTCATCCTCGATAGCAAAATCCTTCCCGCTCTGATAAGTCTCCCAGTTCTGGCAGTTCGAGTGAAGTGAGTCGTAATCAATCAAGTCCTGGATCTCAGAGTACCGCTCCACGAATTGAATGGCAAAGCCTTCCTCCGTATGCCACCCAATATGGCAATGCATCAGCACGCTCCGGGGTTATCAGTTACAAAGCCAATGACTAGGTGGCCATTTGCTGGAAGCATGGCCGTATCACGGCGGGGAGGATTGTTCGTTGTGATGTCGCCTGCGCTGTAGGTTCCGCTTCCCTGGGAGAGGACAACGAAGTCATGTCCGTGCAGATGAATCGGGTGAGGCACGGATAGAGTGGTCTCGATGATGACAAAGGCCCATTCATCTGCGCGAGGCAGCTGGACTACACCACTGGTGTTGGTGAAGGAGGTGTGGTTGCGATAGATCTCGAGCAGAGTTGGATCTTCCCAGGCCACATGCATGGAGGTACTGTTTAGCTTCCAGCGATAAAGGCTCTGGGAGTTCTTGCCTAGGCTCACGGGCTCCGATTCGTTGTATAACGGGTTGGAGGTTATTGTATAGGGGTTGACGATCGGTACCAGATTGGACATGTCTTCGTCATCGCAGGCATCTGTGTAGGAATATGCCGTTGTCGTGGGTCTCGATGGAGAAGAGCCGTAGTAGACAATTCCCTTGATGTTGGTGGGGTTCTGGTTCTCAGAGCAGGCTTCTTGAGGGATGGCACGCAGCCAGAAGTTCTTGGCGATGGAAGCTTTGTCTGCGCGGACGATGATGTCGTAGCGTTGTCCTGTGTCCATGATCAGTGAGCGTTATGATATGGTCATCCCCAAGGTGGACTTACCCATTGCGATATCGAGGACGGTAGTGTTGTACGGTTCTATGGGGACGAGGTCGTTGGCGATGACTGTCATCGTATGGTTGTCAATCATGAACTTGAAATGGCTGTCGCAGGCTGCATTGACCAGGCGAAATCGATAGGACTCTCCTTCTGTGAAAGATGTATTCCATCTAGTTCCTGTCTGATTGGCGTAACCATCCTGTCCGAAGACATTCATTCCATTGATTAAGCCAGAATCCAGTTCAGGGGGGCCGTCAGCTTGTGCACTATCGAAGAGCTGGTCCACCGTATTGATGTCCCAGTCGTTGAGGATGATGAACCCCTTATCCTCGTCATAGTTGGCACTAGCAGGGCCATTGATCTTGATGCCACCGAACACACCCTCCCAAGCCTGGAGACCAATGTGCGAGTGGTACCAGGTCGAGCCGTACTGAGTCGCTCTCCACTTGTAGGTGATGGTGCTGTTCGGAGCTGTCGGGCACTGGGTGATAGATACTACACCGTCCGAGGGGTTCGTGTAGTGTTGGCGAATCCCGTGGAAGTGAATGCTGGTGCCGTTTTTGACGGAGGTAGGTAGTTTGTTGTTGACATGCACGACCACGGTATCACCCCAGTCTGCTTCAATGGTAGGACCGGGAATAGAGCCATTGATGGCTAGGGCGAACCGGGACCGCCCATCGGGAGCCACGGTGACATGTTCGAGGTCAAACCAATATTCTCGAGTGACACCCGTGTCCGGAGTGGTAGTGGTATAGTCTGTATTGATATCATAGCTACACCATTGCTCACGATTGCTGGCAGTGTTTCCTGTGCAGGCGCCAGAGGAAGATGTACTAAGAGATGCTGAAGCAGAGAGCGACGCGGAGACGGAGTCTCGAACTAAGAACGAGGGGACATTTGTGGCAGTGACAGCCACAATACTGGCAAGTATAGAAAAGAGAGACGATTTCATGTTGTCTCCCACTGCTAAAGAGTGTTGTAGGCTATAATAACAAAAGAATGACAATGAGTGGATGCATCCAATTGTTATTCAGACTTTAGAAACAGCTGCTTATATTCTCAAGCACAGAAGTCACTATCCTTCAATCCTCGTCACTGCCATATTGGAATAACAAGCCAAGCACAACTATCACATTCCCTAACAAGGATCAGCACATATTGGCAAGAACCCATTGGCCAGCCAGGAACTGGCCCATCGAGGTACGTGGACGAATGACACGATCTATGGAGACGAGCTGAAAAGCCTCCACATATCAACTTTACGTAGACTGGAGTAGGGCTGAGTGCTCGTTGGCAAGTTCAGTATCTGTCCACAGAGACCGAATCCCACTATTCCACACATAGAGCGTCGGTAGGTGGAGCTGATCCGCTCTCTCCCAAGCTTTGGCAACGGGGAAATCAGGAGAACGAACTGCGCGGATCAGCACCTAGCCGTCCAATTGTATTTTCTGGCCGATAAGCATTTTCTATAATTATCTAGACACAAACTATCAATTGAACGATTATCTCGCAGCGTAGTCATTCCCCACGTTTGTAGAGGAACGAATCACTTATGCACAGGGACCTACGTAATACGCCTATAGCATGACGCAGTAGATGTATCCTATGACTGTGACGGGATAGTTCTATACACTATTAGAAGCGCCTCATGGAGTCTACAAATGTTTGTTTTATTCTTCATACCATAGAGCTAACTGGTCTCCAGCCCTAAGAGAAAGACAAGATCCTAGTCGTGGCGGAGGCACAAACGTCAACGACGCGCATTCTCCGGCCGACGGATCCACTCGAAAGCCGATCCACCATAGACCAAGATTTTAGCGATCTGCATAGAACCCTCTATTCCGGTTAGTGGCATACGTATTCCTCATCGCATGGAGTAAGGCACCACTCAACTATCGCGATTGGGCTGGTGTGGGGTGAGCCAAACGGCGATGTTTCAGGAACAGACATGTATAGTCCGAAGTATAACGACGGCGACATGCCGAACGATTGACTCAGCGGGATCTAAAATCACCGACACAACCTATAGCTTTGCGTATTCGCCTGTCGCTAAAAAGCAGATATGTGGGCTAGAAGCATCGAAAATGATGCAGCCATAGAGGAGGTCTATCCAGCTGAAGGAGCCCCCAATTTATCATAAGAAGATTGGAACCCGGTTTCCCTGGTGGACATTCGTACCAAATTCCAATAGCTCCAGTTAGCATTTCTGCTGGGGTCTCAATAATCTTCAAGAAATATGTTGTCTTTCAAGTCACCTCTCTGGTTCGTTTCTTTGGCAGTAGTGGTCGGTACGGCCTCAGCTGCCCAGAAGTTTGGCCTTTACGCTTATGGCGAGAATGTAGGAGGGCTGCCCCTTTACTACGTTGATGGTAAGTAACTTCAGATTTTCCTTGCCTCGTAGGATTCTGTTTGGGATATACTGAGCCACATGCATAGGTAGCGCCGTCGTAAGTCCAAAGACTCCCGAAAACGGGACCGATGTAGCCCCGGTTGCTTGTAAGTCGCCATCCCCTACAACTATCCAAGTCAATCTAACAGACCCTTCAGTCAACAAGGATAGCGATAACGAACTTATCGGAAACCCAAATACAACCAGCACTGCCTCTACGCCCGCTTTCACGGACGCATCACTTTTCGTTCCGGGCCCAAACTCCAATGACAAGGAGATGGGGTTCACAAGCGATCCTTCCTCAAACCAAGTCACCAACAAGTTTGTCTGGTATGGTAACTTCCTGCTTGTCGAGAATGACTCTGGGGAGTATACCTCGTTGTTCTCCGTCAAGAAAAGCTCGACGCACGATGAGGATGGAAGCTATGATCTTTACTGGAACGTGACAGACTCCAATGAAGAAGTTATCACTATTTCCATGCGGTCGGTTGCGCCTTCTAATAAATAGAGCTCTTTCTACGTCGGAAGAATTCGTGGCCGTCTGCTAGGCTGATAGTGGCTGCTGTGTGTGGGTGATGCAGTACTGTCTTTCTCTTCTTAAACCACTTGGCTTCCTTCCTTTGTATTTCTGAAATAACATTGAGTAGTCGCCACTTCTGTAGACATTCGTATACATAACAATATTGACAACGAGTTATATGTACTTGAAATATGATAATTTTGTGGATAATGTTCATGTCCACTTGACTTTGCAATGGGTGAAAGCCTACACAATGTATCGAAAGCTGCGGTTCTGGATATCCGTCTCGTCAGCATGGTCCAAGGCCTCGTCCGTGTGCAGGTCAATTTTTCGGGTTTCTTCCGGATCAATATAAACGCCCTGCTGCTTATCACGTCGCCTGTTTTCCCACCCCAAGTAGACCCGAAACACAACCGCTGAGGCCATAGCTATAGCATAACAAATCACAATGGTGGTATAGGCAGTCTATTAATAGAGCGCCGCGTCAGCATTCCTTTCACCACATCAATCTAAGACTCGACTATGACTTACAGGGTAGTACGGTGCTTCCGAGTTTTTGAAAAACTGGGGACCGATCAGGTTTCCAACACAATAGCCCACAAAGATCAATGCCGCAACGGTCGACTTTTTGGTAAACCCGGCTGTGTTGCTTGCGTGGAGGGACAGCATGAGGGGGAAAACTGGAGCGATTGCCGAAGACATCCAGTACCCGGCGAGCCGGGACAACTTTTGTTCTGATGGAAGCAACTTGACCATCAGGATACCTGCAAGGGCCATAACGAATATCATGATAATTGCAATTAAACGGGACTTGCGGACGTTCGTGCAGAATATAGCTGCCAGTAGGACCACTACCAACTGAAAGGCCGACGCGGGAAGACCCATAAGAATGGTTTGATATTTATCGTAACCAAAACCAGCAATCAGCAGAGATTGGAACTTCTATGTGTCAGCGTTCTGCCCAAAGCACAAGGCCAATGAAGAAAATCGATTCTAAAAGAACGGCTATAGCCCTAGCCTAGGATATACATACGCTAGTCGTGCCCCCATTTGGAACACAGATGACGAATGAGAAAATCACTAGCCACCATGTTTTAGGATCTATGAGAGATTCAATGAATTGATTTCGGTTCCACTTTTTCGTTTGAGTTGTTCTTTGGAATTTCTTCGGTCGTAGAGAAGCAAATTCACGTTCCGAAGAAGAAAGGAAGTGGGCGTTCGAAGGAGAGTCTGGCAGGTAGAACCACAATACAATCGACCACGCCACAGTTATGAGGCCGAAAATAAGGAACAACATCTACATTCTTGGTGAGTTCGCGTACAGGCAAATTAAGGCGTAAGGGGAGACAAACCTTCCATTGTGGGAAGTGATCCCGATAGTGGGCAATGCCGTAGGCAATCAGCGACCCGATGATGCTGAAACTGGCATTTCCTGCGAACCAAAATGTGTGGCGAGAAACGTGCTCAGATGGCGTGTACCACATCCCAGTTATCAATGAGAAGCCTGGGCTGATAGCGCTCTCAAACACGCCCAGAAAGGTTCGCAAGACCATGAGCCCGGCGTAATCTTTAGCAAGAGCATGGAAAGTCAAGACAACACCCCAGAGAAAACTAGAATGTCTCAGCGAGATGAGATCAGTATCGAACGACTCAACTCACATGAGTAAGCTAAGGTATTTCCCCAGGGGAAATTTGACGAATCCAAGGGAAATTGGATACGAAGCGGCGAGATAGCCGATGTAGAAGATACTGGAAGCCCAACTGTATTCTTGCCCGACAAGGTTCTTTCAGTAGTCAGTTTAAAAGCGAATATCTGGCATCCAGGGATCTAATAATAACATACTAGATCCTCCTTCAATCCAAGAATTGCACTGTAAGATAGACTTGTCTCTGTGGGTTCTATAAGCATACACGCTATCTTCATTGGGTATATAATAGTATACTGACTGTCCAGAAACTGAAGGCCATAACTAATGATCAAGAGTGGCATCAAACTAATGATGTGAGTCAGAGAGGCCCTCTATACATGTCCCAAAAATGACTGACTGGAAATCGATCTTTCTCACCAGCCTCTTTTCCTCTTCCGGGCCAAGTACGTCAACCGATCCGCATTCTTTCTGTCCGTGGACTGCGTCTGAGGGCGCGGTACATTTTGTGTCCCGGTAAAAACTAGGTCGAGGGTTTTCTTCCATGACCGACAACAAGGGCAGAAAAATTAATGAGCTCTTCCTCGTGATTGCCGGTGTGTGACGTTGACAGTCGATGTCAAGATAGGCGAGAGATGGAAGAAGAGTCAAGATACGGGGACGGGCATCCCGATTTTAAGCAGGAATCGATAAGGATAGAGACATTGAACTTGGGATATCGTGGATAAGGCAGGAGACTCAAAAAGACTCGGTTCACGTGTTGCCATTTGGTTGGGTTCATTGCCTGCAATCAACAGCCCCCTTGCGTTCAATCATTGTGGAGATGATACCCTCCACTGGCAATCCGGACGAAATGATTGGCTTGTTTAATCGACGGGAGAGGGCCGAGGTCGGGGCGTAGCGTCAATGGCGGACTCCCCGACTCCGGCAGTTAAAAGACCGTCTCCACCCCCGCAAATTATGGGCAAACCCCAGCCTGTTAGTTTTCACCACAAAGAGATCTTTTCACTCGAAAGGCTTCTCGTGACAGACTACCGAGTCGCCAATTGGATGACATTGGCCAACCCCATGAAGGATAAGTTCATTGAGGACGCCAGGGCTGCAGGGATGCCAGGAGAAAGGGGAGAAAGAAAAAAGGCTAACTGCAGCAGCTAAACCGTCTCATCACGGCCCACCGCCAACTATTCGTCGGAGGATTTGCATGGTTACTGGAGAATGTCTCTTTGCTTCCTGCACGAGCTGAAAGACTCTCTTAAGTGCGGGGTCTGAAAGATACGTTATGATCCACTCTCGATGTACAGGATCGCATGTCTCAATCCCCCCAATGAACAGAGACCACTGGAACCGTTCCAGCAATTGGGCGGACCCAATGGTAACTGTCTTATACGCACAAGTGATTAGTGAGCTGAGAGCGCAGCGGACTTCTTCGGGTACAGGATCTGCGCCGAAGGCCGATTCGCAGCTCCGGTGAAGGTATATTTGCAGAGCGTAGAAAAAGGTCACAGTAACACACTCCATCAAAGATGGACGGCAACAGCCCAGTGGTTCGCTATTTGCGACCAATGAGAAGATGCAAGAGTATTCCTGTTCTAATCAGTCAAATCTTACGACACTTGACAGCTGTATATGCGATCGTATGTACCTTTTTCAATTCATCTAGGTGCTGCTTTAGCCTTCGTTCATCACCGCACCGGCGCAGCACCCCGGTCTGGCTGTAGATATTAATTTCATGGTGAATGGTAATGAGCGTGAAATAAAGGTCCAATATCGCTGCTTCATGGACCTCTGGCAAGCTCCCACTAGGAAGCCCTTGTTCTTCCGGGAACAAAAGAAATACGGTCCGCGAGAGTCTCCAGATGTTACGTCTCTTAGAGTAGTCATCATTAACAAATGTAGCGAAGGAGCCACCGCACCCGAAGAAGGAGCAGAAACCGTCGCGATCGTATAAATATGTAAAGATTCGCGCTAGAAGGACTTGACCTGGAATTAATAGTCCAGCAGCGAAAGCCTCTGGGAAGAGATTCACGCCATCATTAATGCAGAACTCATCCACCTTGTGGGTCCGCACGTAGTTCACTACTGTTTGACTCAATTCCCGCACCTTTTGTGGGACTGGTTGGTCGCGACGCATCCAAAACATATACATGTACAAAAAGGAGAGCATCATGTTAACGTGATCAGGAAGCCCTCGCGGGGTCAAAGCGTAGCGGAGCAACTTTGTACCTTGGTCGAAGTGCTGATAAGACCTTTGGGGTAGAACGAGCCCATTGCCATAGTACAGCGAGAGCTCACTATGAGCGACAGCGAGGAGGAAATGAAGCGCCATTTGCTTGTCCATGACATAATTGACGAAAAGGGATTGAGCTGAGTGAGTAGGGGTGCGTGTTGACTTCATTGGCCCGAAGATAGTCCGATGGAAAGACAATGCCTGCATGTCATCGACACCATAAGTTGGGATGCTTCGTGTGTAATTCATCACTAGCAAAGGTATAGGATCCAAGAGGCTGTTTGCAGGGTAATCATGTGGCGCGCCATATTCTTCATAGGTGCTAGATTGGACCCCCCGTCTAGTATCCGGAAGACATGGTGTTGGTTCTTCATCCGCTTGTTGTTCTGGTGTGAGTACGGTTATAATAGGCAAAGGGCTTCCCACTGGTTCTAAGAGGAAGGAGTCCTTGGGAATGAAAGACAGTAGGGACGACGGAATATCCATTTCTGGCGCCGATGTCTGGACCCTGGAATGAGCCTTAATACCTACTTCATATTCGTCTTCGTTCAATATCGATGAACCTAATCCGCTTTCCTGGGAGGCCAGACTGATGCTGGATACTTCACATGGCTGACCAGGTAGCTTTGAATGTGGTAATATCGGTGGTGGAGTCCATGATTCGCTGTTCCTATGTTTTATTGGGCCAAAACCCCTCCGTCTCGAAGAGAGAGGAGGTCGCGGGGGTGCCCATTCGCACACCAACTGAAGACGCACACAACGTCCACAGACAGGACGCTGTTCGTCACATTTGACCCTTTTGCCAACACAAGTTCGACAGCCTCAATTTCAGAACCGTGTCAGTATGGCTAAAAGGAAGTATTGGTCTCAGCGCGGATAAGCAGTGGTTGAACTGACCGTCCTTTGAGCGTTTGCCGCGCTCGACGCGTTTCCGACGGGGTCGAACGGCATCGCCCTGATCCATTGAGCCTAGGAAGATAATCTACCCCGCATACCGGTATTGTTTGACTTTCGTTGAAGCTCTTATCGTTATTAGGACGGGGAAGATACGGAGTAAAGAATGACTCGTCAAGCAAGTGTATGGGATTATTACTATCAAAGCCCGCCTCCACATTTTTATCTCCCGTGCCGGTCGATTAAACTGACCAATCATTCTACTCCCTCGTCACATATTGCGCCTGACCAGCACAGCTCCAACAAGTCGCGAGACTTTTCCTTTCACTCCTGTTTTTATTTTGTTCTTATTTTTCTTTGTTGGATAATCTCTACTTAATATACAGAGTATTATTATATTTTAATGTCTCTTGTGTTTTATTTCAAGATTGTCCCGTCATAGATTACGCCGAATATATATTGAGAAAGCTTATCAACTGGAAGAAGAACTTTGTAAGCTAATAAAGGCAACATGGGAAACGTACTTTCAACCTACGAGTCAAATGAGTGTGAAGTACAGTTATCCAACAATGCTGGAAAAATTTCCGGCCTCCAATTTGACAGCAAATCTCGAAGATACGCTGACATACCTTACGCTCTACCACCGACGGGCGAGTATCGATGGCGAAAACCACGACCATTGCCAGAGTCCTTTTCATACTCATCTCCGGACGGTGCGCCATATGACGCGACAAAGTTTGGCAAAGTCTGCTTACAATCCAGCTACTCCGCCTTCGTGAAGAAACAACTTCCGCAACACGTCTTTGGGGAGGACTGCTTGCGCCTGAATATCTGGACCCCGGTCGGAAAGCCCGACGAAACTAATCCGAAATGGCCGGTGATGATCTGGTTTCATGGGGGTTGGTTCCAGATCGGTGACCCCAGTCAGGAAGAATCGATGGATCCGACCGAACTTATCTCCACCGGCCAGTTGAATGCAGTGTTTGTCGCAGTAGGTTACCGGCTCAACGTGTTCGGATTCTTGGCTGGCGAAGAACTGAGAGAGGAGTCCGGTGGACAAGAAGTGGGCAATTACGGCCTCTGGGACCAGCGACTGGCAATGGAGTGGGTCTATCAAAACATCTCAGCCTTTGGCGGGGATCCTGAGAACATTACGTTGTCAGGACGCAGCGCGGGCGCATACGCCGTTCAGGCACAGACGCTGTACGACTTTCGGGGATCGATGAAGGAGTCCGCCCGCAATCATTTCCGACGGCTTGTGATGTATTCTAATGCGATTCCCACTCAACCGAAAAGCCCAGAAGACTGTCAATCCCAGTTCGATGAGTTGTGCGAATATTTAAAGATACCCCTAGAAATACCAGGGCCCGAAAAGCTCCAGAGGCTACGCCAGATTGGTGCCGAGGAGTTGTGCGAGTCGGTCATGAAACTGAAGCATCACACATTCCGACCTGTTACTGATGGCATTTTCATCCACCCTGGCATCTTTGAATACTATCGGAATGGAGCGTTTGCGAATGAGTTTAAGAGACGTCACTTGCGTTTATTAATCGGAGAGGTTCTGAACGAGGAAACATTATACGCCGTGACTAATGGCCCACAGGCCAACAAAGAATCTCTAGAGCTGCAGATTTCCAATTATTATTCCCCATCGACGACATCTCGATTGCTGCATCATTATCATCTTCCTGACTCCGACCGAAAAGAGGATTGGGAAGCTGTGTTCGGGCGAATTATCTCCGATGGCCAGGTCCGAGCTCCGTCGCGGTTTTTGGTCCATAACTTACTACAACACGGAGTGGACATTAAAGACGTGTGGCGGTATCTTATTGCATACCGCATGTCGTTCATTACCGAAAAGGTAGCCCCTGCTGCATTTGGAGTCAGTCATGCGATGGACAGACCAATATGGAAGTACGTATGAGACTTGGGAGATCCCTCAGTCTTCGTTCTATACAAACATCTTTTTAACGGTTTTATCTAGTTACTCGGTGATGCATGGACCAAAGCCTACTGAACGACAGTTAATGGACAGTTGGATTAGCGATCTAGTTGCTTTCGTCAGCGGAGATAATGACTACTCCTACGGTACGAAGAAATGCGACGACTATAAAGTCATGACGCCGGATGGCAACATCGAGATCCAGAATGATCCGCGTTGGGCTGAATTGCTGAAGTTAATGGACGTGTTTTCTGGTTGTTCCTGTGAGAATTAGGTAACGCTCATGCCCGGTCACAAAGCAGCGCATATCGCGAGGGCTTCTTTGGATGTTATGTCCAATATGCTGGTACTGGCTCTAGATTTGCAATCACGTATTACGTAGTGCGCCACATGCCTAGTATAGTATAGGTTTGTGGCTTTCAAATCTATGCTGCATGTACTGATCTTGGCATAGTAAAGAGAGCAGGCTCGAAGATCAGATATATCTAGTATTAGTTAGGGAGAACAAGACAAAGTAACTTCAGAGTTCGTTCGGGCATTGACTATACAGAGTAGAGCTGCTACACATACTTCAAGCGCATGCTATGATGCATGCAAGGCATTGAATACATCCTTGTCCGAGCAATGGGCAGGCTGCTTCCCTAAGTTCCAACTAAATGTATTCGGCACAATTACACTTGTTACTCAATAGCCATGTACAACTCTGTGGAATGTAATACCCGTGTTCATGTCACGACAACAGTATATCCTGCCGATAGAAAGTAACCGTATGTGGAGATTGAAATATCCCGACGCATTCACCGGTAAAAGAACGATAACCGGGGACTGAAGGGCTTCTCGGGAAATCATAAGCATATGCAACGGAATTCAATGAATTTATAATCTTACAAGCTACCTCGTGACAATTATGACTAGATCTGCCTAGCGAAACATGATAAGAAGTATGTGGAAGTTTCTGGGAAGACCGCTGTTGTGACCTGTCGTGTATAGAGCCTGCACTCCTTACTATCGTATTAGTTTGTAGCACAGTCTATCTATGAGGCACGACATGTAGACCAGATGTGTCGATTGTATCGAGGAAAGAGCATATTTGCGACTCGTAGCATGAGTGCTTAAGGAAACGGCTGTAGAGGATAGACAGAACAACCGCCGAGAACCAACCATAAGAAGTGGAGGCTTCTACGCATACAAAATATACCGCATCTCTGATGATATGTACGACGTGATGGGGCTGAAGGAAGGTAGTATGGGAAACGCTCGCTCACATAGTATAAAGTACCTTTGACCTAGTAGTTAAGACAATATACCCCTCTTTTCTTACAGATTCCCTTCCCATACGGTTGTTCCGCTTCAGCAACCGTTGGTAATTATTTTAAGAAGAGTCGGCCTCGTTTATCTGGATATTTCTGCAAGTATGGAACAATGCTGTAGGAATGTAGCATTTCCAGAAGCCGCAGAAGTTAAAGATCCTAACTCAGTCCGCAGGCCGACTCCAGTCTGGGGGAACAGGGACAGAGTGACAGAGTACGTTGTCGACAATGTCAGGGAGGACCTAGTTCCCTTCCCTATCGCCATTGTGGGGATGGGGATGCGGCTTCCTGGTGGGGTTAGCTCTGGAACGGAATTTTGGAATTTTCTTGTCAACAAGCGCGATGGCCTATGTAGGGTTCCTGAAACCAGGTACAACGTGGATGCATTCTATGACGAGGCCCGCGAAGGTGCCGTCTGGACAAAACATGGCTACTTCTTAGAGCAAGATATTGCGCAGCTAGACATCGGGTTCTTCGGGATAAGTAAACCTGAAGCGGAGAAGCTCGATCCCCAACAGAGACTCCTGCTGGAGGTAGTCTGGGAGTGCATGGAGAATGCCGGCCAGACGAATTGGCAGGGTACGAATATAGGATGCTTCGTGGGCGTCTTTGGGGAAGACTGGTTGGATCTCTTGAGCAAGGACACACAACAACACGATAGATATCGGGTAATGAGCGCTGGTGATTTTGCCCTGTCGAACCGGGTTTCATATGAATACGACTTGACAGGACCAAGCGTCACCGTCCGAACAGGTTGCTCATCGTCCATGGTCGGTTTACACGAAGCGTGCCAGGCAATATATACAGGGGAATGCTCATCTGCGATTGTTGCTGGAACAAACCTTATTATGAGCCCGACCATGACAACAACGATGTCAGAAAACTTGGTTCTCTCGTCCAGTGGACTCTGTAGAACATTTGATGCAGCCGCTGATGGGTACGGAAGAGGCGAGGCAATAAACGCAGTATTTGTCAAGCCACTCGCTGATGCGCTAGCAAATGCCGACCCCATACGTGCCATTATCCGGTCAACGGCGGTCAACTGTGACGGCAAAACACCCAGCATTACCACTCCCGATCCTAAAGCACAGGAGAGGTTGATTAGACGAGCGTATAAAAAGGCCCACATCGAAGGTGATGATATCTTGAAGACTGCATTTTTCGAGTGTCATGGAACAGGTACCATAGCTGGAGATACTGCAGAAACGACGGGTGTGGCCAACATATTTGGCGAAAAGGGAATATATATTGGAGCGGTATGTCGTTGTCGTTGATGTTTCTCTTCAGGATGGTTGATTTTGAAGGGTCGACGGTTGCTAATCCCAAGAAGGTTAAGCCCA